ACATTAATAACCGTTATTCAAATAAATAAGTTTGCTCTACTTTTGTTTAGGTATGGGTATGTTATGAAGAAGACTAACAGTTGCCAGCGAATTGATACGAACGGAATTAAAAAATCTCGTAATAAATATAGGCTAGGTTATCAGGAATAGTGTAGCTAGCAGTGAAAGAAGTTTTCACATTGGTGCAATATAAATCTTTTCACTTTACGTTAGTATAGATCAGTGGTTCCCAAACTTATTTTGTCTGCTGCCCATTTTGAGGATAAATATATTTTTAGCGCCCCCATATTTTCACATATTTAAAAACCACTATAACTTCAAATTAAATTAATTAATTATTGTGACCTATATATGTATATTAACGGAGAATTCTAAACGAAACTTTTACTATAATCCGCAACTTGAGACCTGCAGCGCCCACAAGGGGGTTTATCGCCCACTTTGGGAAAGGGATAGATTGAGAGCTATGGTTGTGTTTAGACTAAATTCTAGGTCTTAAAGTTATGATTGAAATATAGAAATCGGATTATATTTTAATACTAACTCATATTGTTGTTTATTGATCACTACCTGAGGGTTTCGGAGACCAAAATTTTTTTATAAAACATATCGTCATCCCTGTCATTATCTTTACAAAACAGAGATAACAGTATAATTTTGGTCTCAGAAACCCAATGTAAGAAGGTTCTTTATAAATGACTGTCAGTATGGCTTTAAATATTTAAACTAATCAATGGAGTAAAGCTTATGTTTTTCTCATATTAATTTCGAATAACAGACTTACCCTGGATTTCTGAGACCAAAGTACCCGTATAAAATATACTGTTATCTCTGTTTTGTCAAATATGAAAGAGGGGGACGGCGATATTTTATACAGATATTATGGTATCAGTAACCCACGGTTAATGACGCTGTTTATGCGATAAGTTTTATTTATCAAAGAGATTCTCTATGTATTTAATATTAGTATCAAAACACGTGCCTCTAGTATGGAATAATAAATCTTTGATCGGTCATTATATGACAAAAAGGAAGGGGAAATACAAGGAAGCTTATAGTTTATTCATGGGGAAATTCCCGTGGATATTAAATAATCAATAAAAGACATATATCACAATGAAAACGCTCTTTATTTCCTATATCTTATAATTATAAGGGTAATTTAAGTGTATACTAGCTGTCGCCTGTGACTCCGTCCGCGCGGAGTTAAAAAAGAAAACATTGTTGGTAGACAATGTGTTCTTCCAGACTATGTTCTATATCTATGCCAAATTTCAACGGGATCCGTTCAGCCATTCCGGAAATACCTTCAAACAAACATCCATCCAAACATTCGCATTTATCATATTAGTAAGAAGTAAGATACGAGTATGTACTTCATTCCTGTTTGTTATTTTATGACGTGATTAATTTTTTTATTATTTTGTGGCCTAGTCACCTAATTTAGAGTAGGCTCCTAGCCCCTCAGTGAGGGCGTATAGTAAGCTGATGTTAATAATTTTTTGTGCGATTTTTAGATTACCTTACCTACGATATGAATGAAATAATTGATGTTAGGATGAGGTTTACGTAGATTAAAATGATATGGCTTAGTAAGTAAAAAAATAAATATATAAATGAGGGATAATTTTAAATGTTGTATTTATTTTTAATTTATACTGATCATGATTGGGATCGGATACTTGATTCTGAAATGACCGCAAGTAATTTTAAACCCTAATTTTTGAGAATCCCACACGAGTAAGGTTTCATATATTCAAAAATGAACATGAAGTTTTTTTTACAGAATTTTGACGTTACCTACTTAAAAATAATTTAAAACTAAAGTAGGTTTAACTGGTAATTTAATATTTAACTCTGCTACAAGTATAAAGCTTGACCAAGGCTTGAAAACAGTTGCATATTTTTTTCAACAAAAGACAAAGTTATGTATTTTTCATACACTCAACAGTCGCTGAATAAAGATTATGTATTCTTTTGTTCAGTTTATGTTATAAATACTCACTTGTCGACTTAATAGAAACGTTGGCATTAAGCTGGATGTAATAACCGTGGATTTCTGAGACCAAAATCCCCGCTTAAAATATGTGGTCGCTGTTTTGTTAAAGATATTCAGACAAATGATATACTTTATTCAGAAATTTTTGTCTCGGAAACCAACGGTAAGTTCCAAGTAACGTCTGTCCTTATCGGTGGCTCAGTTAGAACTGACAGTTAATTGACTTCGTTTCGTTGTGCTCAAGACAGCGTAGCTACTATTGCTACGTACCGAGTGTACAAAATGATTATTGTCCGTAGCTCAAAATGCACCAGAGATACTGGATGTGTCATCACCTAAGGGCGATGTGGGGAAGCAGGTCAACCTCAGCTGCAGCGCGGCGCCGGAGACGGCGGACATCGTTTGGTTGTACCAGGGCGAGCCGGTCAAACTTGGCGACAGGTAATTTTGTGTCATATTCTGACAATAAGTTTTTAGTCAAAAAAGGATAGACTTGCCAGTGAAATATGTCCATATTGTCTCGTATAAGTGTTTGACATAACATCAGGAATTGTAAGTTGACAAGGAGATCGAAATTAAATATCACTGTAGAGAGAAGACATCCCATATAGTTCGCAATATTTAAAGTTTACACTGACTTTTGATGATTTTAAACAATTGATTCGTTTACTCACAGGATCAAAGTCAACACGGAAGAAAGGCAGCTTCAAAAGAAAGACTTGGACGGCAATCCGCAGAAGTATAAAATGTCTAATTTAACGATAAACAACGCGACATCACATGACGCTGGCAACTACACCTGCATTACGCAGCTGGGGGAAGCGAAGATCGAAAGGATCCTTCTGCTCGATATGAGCTTTCCCGGGAAACTGGTGAAGAAGACGCCAGGACCTATCAAGCAGAATGCGACTGATCAGGCCAATGTTACAATGCAGTGTGTTTTTGAAGGTGATTAAAAGAAATATTTAGAAGTCTACGCTAAAAAATGTTATCTTGAAGTAACAAAGGCTAAAGTTTTATTTAACCATTACATATTGCCTAGCTATCGCCCCTAACTTCGACCGTAATAATAAGTATCCTATGTATTCTTCCAGGCTATGTTCTGTATCTGTGCCAAATTTCATCGAAATCGTTCCGTACATACCTTCAAACAAACCCATCGATCCATCTAAACGTTCGCATTTATAATATAAGTAAGATAAATTGTTATAAATTATTCAATTCTTATTATCAACAGTTTATAAACCGGGCGAAGTTAAATGGTGGAAAAGAGCAAAAGAAGACGAAGCGATTGAGTTAGATTCGAGAACGGGTAAACAGTTGGACTTGAAACAAATCGAAAGTACATACATCCTACATATAAAGAATCCAGAAGATAATGGCACGTACATATGCGAAGTCTGGGATCCTGTTACTTCGACGAACATCAGCGGAGAAATAGATGTAATGGTGTATGCAATCCCTTTAGTAGTTATGGATATAGTCATTCCGATAAGTTCATCACAACTATTCCTGAATTGGACCATCAGAGCTTACAATTCACCAATCAAAAGTTATAATCTAATGTACCGAAGGTTGCCGTCAACTGACTACAGTTTATACACGAGAGAAAAGATCGGTGTCAAAAACATTTCATTTGTTATGGAAGGTTTGGAGAAATCATCATCTTATCAACTCAAACTCGAAGTTACCACAACATATGGACAGAGCAAGCCACATGTTTATGATACAATAGTTAAAACTTTAGATAAAGATCCAATTTTTGTACCTAATATAACTATTA